AATAGAAATGATCACCAACTACAGAAGCTCTTGATTTTTAAACAAATTCTCCTTGTCAGCACCCAAGGAAATGTATAGAGAGCAGTATGGAGAATATGCATATATACTGATTTTAGGGTGTAAAATATTAATGCATCATCTATTTATTGTTGATTGTTTCTTCAGGGTAGTGCCTCATCTGCAAATGACACTAAATCTTACTTTTGTCAAGAAGGACAGTACAATGACATGGCAACATTGTTCTTTACCTCCCAGGAATCAGCAATTCGGCATCTTTTTCACCTTGATGGTAAGAGCCAGTTCTTTCCTCTATGGGTAATTTATTTTTGGAAGTGCTACACAGCAAAGCATTCAAATCATTACTATGATAGTAAATGATGGCATAAGAGCAGATGGAAGGCATGTAAGAGCTGTAAGACCAATTAGCATAGAGACTAATATCTTACCAAACACACACTCATCTTGTCTATTTACAAGAGGGCAAACACAAGTTTTAGGAGTGCTTACTGTTGGAGGCTCAACAGATGCACAAATGTATGAGAGCTTAACAGATACAAGCCCACGATATGAAGATTTTATGTTGCATTATAACTTCCCGGGTTATAGTGTTGGAGAAGCAGGTAGATTAGGACCTCCCGGACGACGTGAGTTAGGACATGGAAATTTAGCTAAAAAATCTATTGAGCCTACACTTGTTAATAGAGGCGATAATACCATAAGGATTGTAGCAGAGGTGTTAGAATCAAACGGCTCATCATCTATGGCTACGGTATGTTCTTCCTCTTTAGCATTAAGAGCTGGTGGTATAAAGACCACAGATTTAGTAGCAGGTGTTGCTATGGGGCTTATAAAAGAGGGCGATAAATATGCTATTCTTACAGATATAATGGGGTTAGAGGATCATTATGGCGATATGGACTTTAAGGTTGCAGGTACTAAAAAGGGTATAACAGCTCTGCAAATGGATATAAAGATAGAGGGTATTAGTATAGATGTCTTAAAAGATGCTTTGTATCAAGCAAGAGAAGCAAGAGAGCATATACTTTCTATTATGGAGAGTGAGAGTGAGAAGATAGTTATCAATGAAGATGCATTGCCAAGTATGGAGATGTTCTCTATTGACCCCGGTAAGATAGCAAGTGTTATAGGACAAGCGGGTAAGACTATAAAAGAGATAATAGAGAAGTTTCAAGTTGCAGTTGACCTTGATAGAAACAGCGGTAAAGTTAAAATATCGGGTAAGAAGAAGCTTTTGTAGAGGTTGCACCGGGTAAAGATGGACTTATACATATATCAAGATTAGCTGAAGGTAGAGTTGAGAGGGTATCGGATATAGTCAATGAGGGTGATATGGTAGATGTTGAGGTTATAGCAATTAAGGGTTTTAAGGTTGAGCTCTCTTTAGTTAGGGATTAAACTAAAAAAGATATTTTTATAGGGGGAGTTTCATCTTTTTATAGGGAAGTATAATACTTTATACTTTTCTATGCCTCCCCATCTATATATTGGGGGTTTTTA